GCTCCAGCCCCGCACACTCTCACCATGTCCAGGGAATAGAGTCCAGCAAACGTTGCTCTGATCCGAGCAACAGCCTCAGTGTGGCCAGGCAGCAATGTCTCCAGCGTCCCTGGCCGGCTCAGCTCCTGCTGGACCTTCTTGGTGCCTGCGAGTTGGGTAGCAATGTCAGGGCACTTCACTGCCCTTGATCTCTCCAGCAACAGCCGTGCCTCCCAGTTCTGAGACAAAAAGAGAGCAACCATCCAATCAGGCAAAAAAAAAACCAAAAAAACAAAAAAACAAAAAAACAAAAAAAACAAAAAAAACAAAAAAACAACCAAAAAAAGGTTTTCTGCACTCTCTTCTGTTCAGTTACTGACATATTACTTGCCTCCTCCCACCTGGCAGGGATGGTGGGTGGGAATAGCACTCCAGAGACAAGCAGACCTGCATATATGGATTTCCCACCACCTCTGGAAACAGCACAGCCAGGTTAGTCCACAGCCTTTGCCTGCACGCCCTCCCCAGCTCGTCCAGAGCTGCCACCTCCAGATGACAGCAAGATCTAGTCTATATTATTATTACCTGCAGCCTAATAGTCCTAGCAGAGGACAGAAATTTATCTGTAGATCAAGTCTAAACGCTTGGCGGGTGCCAATACCTGTGTTAACCCATATTGTACAGAAGCAGTTCAGCACTGTGGTAAGAGGTCACCACGTGAGTGGTTACTGGAGAAGCAAACCACTCACTTTTCTCACTGCGTGAGCACCAGGGACACCCACAGGCACTCAGAGCCACAGCTTCCCAGTGCTATCAGCCACATCACACAGGACTAACTCCATCCAGGACAGGACAGATGCCCCTGGGGTCACGGGGTGTTTCAAACCCACCGGGCAAGGCCACGGTGTGGGCAGCTTCTTGGAGCAGAGCGCTCAGTACTGACCTGCTGGTTGTAGTTCCCTGGCACGTAGCCCTCTCTGTAGTACACCACTGCTACCTCCTGGCCGTCCCTGGAACAGAAACCAGAACGATTCACAGAACCAGGCCAGCCCCTGCCTGACTCTGCCCGAACCCTCCCAGCACCAATGGGGCTGTGACAGGGTCAGGCAGGCAACGCGCTGCAGCATTTGCCGCTTCTCCTTGGCCTCCTGAGCCTCCTGCTTCTGGCTGGCTCTGCCAGAGAAAGCTGAGGACTGCAAGCCCTGGCTCCTCTCCACTAAGCTGGCTTGCGTTGTCCTGAGACACCGGGAGCTGACACCTGGCCTCTCCCCTGACTAACCAAAGTCTCAATAACTCAGGCATCTGGCCCAGCAGGGAGGCAAGAACCTAATTTTTTTATTAGCTTTTGCCACCACGAGCCAGGCCTGGGAGATTCTTGAAGCAGGGAGGAAAAAGGATCCTTCTCCGGTGGCAATTCAAGGCAGGACACCAACTCAACAACCTGCCCAGGCACCGAATACTGGGTGCATATTGCATACTCATAGCACCACACACCCAAGCTTTGGCCAGACAAACTGTGCCATGGCCAAGGAAAGCAGCACAAAAATGGTTGGCAGCTAGGGAATGTAACTGTAAAGGCATTCATCAGCAAGAGGAGAGGATGCTCTGGAAGAAGTACAGTGCATACACTTTCCCCTTAACTGTCTGGCAATGACAAATGTATTCGTTAACTAAACACAGCAGAGGTACCAAAGGTCAAACCACGGAAAAATTAGCCCAACTACAGAAAAAATATTGGCATGAAACCATATCTTCCTTTAGGCTTGTACAGCTCCAAGCACATTACCCTGGAAATAGGACAAACATCACACTTGGGACCAACTGCCAGCACTTGGAATATACAACCCGCATGTCCCCACCTCCACAGGGAGCAGGAGCAATGCTGACTGCCTTCAAAACAAGCAGATACCATAGAGACATGTAATACTTCCTCCTCTGGCACTAACAACCCAGCGCAACACTCACTGGCAGAGCATTACGTCAACAGTAAACAGGAAACGTCTTTGTGGAAGCCTCCAAAACAGCGAGGACTTTTCATAGCAGATGTATGTGGAGGAAGTAAAGATCCCGCAGGGCTCTGAAGGCTGCTGCTTCAAGGAGGGAAATTATGTTTCCAGCAGTAAGGAACTGATGTGTGTATGCAAAAATCTCACCACTGTGAAAACAAAATCGTTTCAGCTCTAAGGGGAAGCAGCAGCCTGGAGCACAGAAGAGAACTGCTTTCTCAGAAAGTCACTATTTATGCTCAAAATATACCACTAGCTTTGGTTGAAAATTCCCATTTACAGCCCTGTGTGGCCAACACACAGCCAGGAACGTGCACCTTGGCTCATACTCACATATACAGCCTCTTGGCATCATCCAGAGACCCCTTTTCAAATACATCTCTGAATCGCTTCCTGATGACCCGAATATTCCTGTTAAGAGAGGAGTGGGAGTCACCAGGCCAGGCATAGTTACTTGAGCTAGAAGTGGAACCAGTGGCTCCAGCAAGGAAGTTCTGTAGGCTCCTTCACAGATAACCTCCGGCTTTGTACTACGGAGCCAGAGAAATCCCACAGGCAAAACAGTCCTTGTTCTTAGCACCCATTCTACATTTCCAGACCAAATACTGTAGGAAGCAGAACATGTGCCTAAACACCCTGGATTTCTCTATACTCACCTTCCACCTCCTAAAGTGTTTCTAAAAGAAGTCAATATTTTGGTTTTTTTATCCCTACACAACAGATTCACTCCCCGTTGGCTTCAAAGTCAAGAGCTGCAGACAGTGAGTGACTTCCTGCATGTTTTGCCTCCTTCACGCTTCACAGTGTTTCCTCCACACAGCGGCAGTGTGGACTTGCTGAGCTACAGACAGTGCGATACACCTCCCACTGGTCCAGCACAAACTCCTTCTCCCCAGTCCTTTACTCCACTGCCACGTTGCTTACCTTGCCCAAATCTTTCACAATGGGTTTGAAGCTTTGTTAGTTAAGCTCTTATGAAATACCCTGTGCCCAATCCCAAGTCAGAAAGTAAGCAGGACCCTCATTAACACTGCTCCAATCCTTACTGTCTCATCTAAGAGACTTGGCCCACAGCAAAGCTACCACTGGTGCAGCTCTGAGGACTACACAGGCACATAATCAGCAAGGAATCAGATCTGGAGAGCAGATGCTTTGATAGCTGCTGGTATTTCCAGCAAAGAGCTGGTGAGAGGCTTTGGGAGGTTGGTGAGAAGACAAAGGTGGGTGCAGAGGCTAGGCAGGAGGCCACCGAAGGCATGTTGAAGAGAGCCACGTAACAGACCGCAGTGACAAGTCCAAGACAAAGGCTGCCCTGTTACATACCAAGACATGCCCTCTCACAGGCCCAGAAACTATAAAGCGTTTTGACTTTATCCTTGAGTAGGCGACAAAGTAAAAAGCAAATGGATTCTGCACACCTCCATCTTTTCCTAGGCTGCTCCTATGCTCCTGTTGCCATGCCATGCCTGCTGGCAAGCCTGGAGGCACCCCCACAAGCTGCCTTGAGGGAAACATCATGCTCTGGCAGCAGTTCACTCTGCTTGCCTTTTCCAAAACTGCACCGTCTCCTTCCTTTCCCATCCCAGGACAATTCAACATTTACCTGTTCCAAAGCTCATTTTCTATACATCGCTGATCAAAAATGTTCCTCTGGACTTCCTCCACGAGAAACATCACCACAGCACTGGAAGAGATACCAAGGACATCATTAAACCCAGAAACACTCCACATGCACCCAGGATCACCAACTTTTCGTCTCTGTGATTCAGGCTTTCTGCACTGCTCCTGCTCATCTTCTCTAGTGTTTCTAAGGGTCAGCAGGCAAAGGGAGAGCAGTACTGATCCTGCATAATTACCAAACCAGCGTGGGGCATAAGCACAAGGCAGGAGGAAAAGCAAGCTCTGTGCAGGGTTGCTGAACCACACAGCTCCTCTGGGGTCCCTCTGCGACACAGCCACCTTGCATGTTATGACAACCACATCGCTCTTCCCAGGGTGCCACAGACTTTGAGAGCAGCTTGTTTAGCAAACAGGCATCTTTCAGAATGTAATTTCAAAATCAAACGTGCATCCCCAGGGGAGACAAGATAACCCAGCCTCCAGTACCTCCTCTCTCCTTACCTTTGAGAGCCATAGAGCTCCCAGGCTTTTGTAATACCCAAGGCAAGTCCTTTTGATGGGTTGTTGGGCAGCAGGCACGATGCCTCCTTAGACTTTCCCAACACTTTCAACACCCGCCTGCGGGGAAGAAGAAAAAAAAAAAAAAGTGCTGTAAATGCTATGACAGCCCCCAACTAGCCCTATGGAGCAGGAGTTTGGTGAGCACGCAAAGACACGGAGCACAGCAGGCCACGCAGTGCAGTTGCTGCAGCGCCTGGCAGCACGGGCCAGAGATGCTCCCTTACCCGTGGACTGCCACAGTGCGGGAGGTGAGGCCTCCGAAGCTGGCAGCAATGGTGTTTATTTCTATCTGCTTCAGAGCCGGTGCCCCATCCACCCCACAGTCAAACATGTAATCAGAGCGGTTTATGCCTAAAAACACAGACTGAAAGAGAGGGGAGGTGAACTGGGTTCTCCTGTTACCTTTAACCACAAATCCCTTTGATGACCTTGCTTCAAAATCCTCCTGGGGCAGATCCAGCCACCTTCATTTCGATAAAAACCTCTGCCAAGACTTGCTCGTGGGTGCTCTTGCCCTTACTCAGGGCCCACAGCCCTCCTCGGTACTCCAGAGGAGTTAAGAACACTCATGAGAGTAAAGGAGCTTCTACAGGGACAGCCTGTCCAGAGCAGGTCCAGAGACGGTGCACATCCTTGCACTCTCCCAAGGCTCCCAGAGGACAAAGACAAACCATATTAAATCCTCCCAGTCAAAGCCTGACCCCTCCCAGCAGCACTAACCAAAGGGCACGACTCTCAAACAGGGCAAGGTCCTGAGCTCACAGGCTGTAACCGAGACCTTGTAGTGTAGGGAGCGACCAGCCTGACTACGGGACGGTTCAAAGGCCGCAGCAGCAAGCTTGCGGACAGAGACGAGGCAATCCCACTGCAACACAATGGGGCACAGCTGCTGACCACTGGGGTCTCCTGTCAAGGTACCTGAGCCAAGCCTTCCTCCAAAACTTGCATATGGATTCTGAAGAGTCGAGCTGTGAAGTCATCTACCTTGATGGTGCTAGAGAGGAAGACAGACCAGATCAGCCACCTTACACTGTCACAGAGGAACAAGAAAATTAATTTCTCTCCAGAGAAAAGCCTTACCAGGGACATTCTCCATCACAAATAGAAGGGCTGTGGCTACACCAAGTCCTACAGCACTGTTAAGCATCTCACACCATGAATGCACACTTCATCAAGGGCTGCAGTGCAGAACCATAACGCAAATCCAGTTTGCTCAGCACAGCCACTTTACAGAAAGCACCACTGTGCAGAGGCAGCTTTCATTTGCAGGTCAGAGAGACAGGACAAGCAAAAGCAAAGGAACGCAGCAGAATTCTGCAGATACAGGAAAAAATCAGAAGTCTCTCTGTGCCTGCACACACAGTTCATAGAAAAAGCTTCTCAAGTGTCATCAAATTCCCCCTGTCCCGTTGGGCTCCAAATCCTGCACATTGTGGTGCCAAGTGCTTCAGCAGCCCTGCTAGAACAGGTCCGGCTTTTCCTCAGGGTTCCAAATCCCTGAGCTACTTGTGAGCAGCACCTCCAAGGAGCTGCCCTGAGACACCGCACAGGCTGCGGCACAGGGCAGGTGCCTGAGCCCACACAAGCCCCAGGCATTGCATTCCTTAACCACGGGTATAAACATGCCCCCACAAGCTCTGGTTGCAGCCAGCTCTGGAAGAGGCGCAAGCACTAAAACAGCTCAGAGAGGTCAGACTTTAGCAAAAGAAGGACTCTAGAAAATGGTTTCCTTTGTTCTGTCCTGGTGCCAGAGAGCCAGCAGCACCTGTGCAGACAGGCAGCACAGAACAGGCAGCAGGAAGGGACAGGGGTTCTGTAGAAGTATCAGCCCTACAGATTACAATGGCCACAGTCATGATGGTTGCTCCAAGCACAGGGCAACAGCCACGGATAAATCCAGCAGAATTCAGGAGCCAGAGATGACCAGTCCTCCAGCACCCAGAGCTTGTGGGTCACCCTCCTGGCATGGCTGGGAAAGCAGGGAACACGGGGTGACTAATGAGAGGTAGGTGTGAGGGAACGAACAAACACCTTCTCTTCATAACTGCGGGCAGGCAGCAGAACTGGTGGTTATCGGATAGCCACAGGCAGATGCAAAATGAGTCTGAAAGAGACTACTAAATCCAGGACTCAAAGAAGACTCCAGCAATTTGAATTTAAGGCCCTGGGGCCAACAAGCTCACAGGCAAGAATTCACAAGCTTGAAACACTGGCAAAACTGAAGATCATTGCAGGGAATCAACTCCTGGCCAGATGTCCCATCTTCTGAGGACCAAGGAGACTCCAAAACGCCAAGACTTGATGGAAATTAATCTTAGGACAAATAATGCACCAAAGGAGACAATTTCTGCAGAGGACAGAAGTGCCCTCTTGCCTCAGCTTGAAAGACATGAATGGATGGAAGGTAGGAATGCCTGAAAGGTGATAAATGCTTTGCATTTAAAATATTTCATTAAAAAGCAACATGCAAGAAAGTTACCTGGCCAGAGTATGCTCCAGGAATTCTTTGTTTTGACTAATAGCATCCACCAGCAGGTTAAAATCTTGCTGAACAGCATACGCTTGTTCAAACAGGACACTTGGTACTGCAGATGGGAGCAGCGTGAAGGGAGCATAATTCACCACCTGCAAACAAGGATGCAGCAGCAGAGCAGTCAGGTCTACGCAGTTTAAGTGGGGCTAAGGACGTGCTTCCTTTGCTTGTCTGAAGGCTGAAGCCACCCCCGCCTTCCTCAGTGCACTCTGCACAGACACACAGCCTCAACCCTGCTGACCCGACTTTTGAGGGCTTTGCTTCACGAGGTGTCCGTGGGGTGCTGCTGAGGCAGGAGCAGCTGCTCCGGAGCTCAAGCTGAGCTGAGCGCTTCCCTCCACAGGATGCTCTGTTTTCACCTTAACTGGAGAGCACTGCCTCCAAAATGCTTCAGTTTCAGAGAAAAGCTAAGTTTGCCAGTCGTGCGGTTTTGGCCATCAGAGTCGCTTCCTTTGATCCCTGCTCACTGAGTCCCAGGGGTGACTCCAGACCCCTGGCTCACCCCACAGCTCAGGCACAGGGCCACCCTCAAAGCCAAAATATTACACCAGACAGACGTTCCCAATTGAGCTTGATTTTTACAGGAGACAAGGGACACTGGCAGTGTGTTTGGCCTTTCCTCCCAAGGCTCCCTCTTCCTCTCACCCATAAAAGTTCCCTCAGAGCCCTGACCTGACCATAGGGTTGACATCAAGGAGCAGCCCCCGTGGTGGAGACCTCCCTCCTCGTTCCTCTGCCAGCTCCCTGCTTGCCCCCAAGCTCCTCAGGGACCTGTCCCCGATGGTGTTCCAACTCTCTTGCACAGGGATACTTCTTCTTTCTCTGACACCCCGCACAGCATCCCCCTGCAACAGGTTGAGCCCCGCACCAGCACTCCGCCCCAGCCAGCTGCCAGATGTAATCCCACACACCAGCCACCACCATCCCCTTATCCCAGGTATGGGGCGAAGGCTAACTTGTAGCTGGGAACATGCCAAAAAACAGAGGCCCCTCCAAGAACCCCCTGGTTCAAAGTATCATACAGGTGGTGAGAGGCTGGCAGAGGGATGAACTCCCACCACCACACACACGCAGGGCTCCTGACAAGTTCCCAAACCTTTCCGGATCTCTCTCCTTGGAAAAGGGAAACTGTATTGCAGGGTGTCTCAGGGAGATGCACTCCTCAGCAGGATGGGGTGAGTTATAGCCCCCATGTCAGCCATGCATCAGCCACGCTTCAGCCAGGCAGCTGGATGCTCACTGCAAGGCAGCGCTGTTTGACGAGGGCTCAGCAAGCCCGAGGCTGGCAGCCGTCTGCGCCCCGAGCTGCTCTCGCTTTGCAGACCGGCACCCCGGCCAGGATGGAGCACACGTCCGTGACTCTGCTCTGGCACTTACATCCGACGCGTTGGGTTCCCCCTCGGTCCGCATCAGCACGCCTTCCAGGAGCGCCGCGTCCACGGCCACCGAC